GACTATTCTGGGAACTTAATTCCAACCTATCTGGAGGGCTTAGATCAGGGGAAACTGCACTACAGCAAAACCTGTAAAACTTCCAGTTTTCTATCTTATTACAGTGAGAAGAAGATCAGGTATGATCATTACTTGGTACCTAATGCACTATTGGAGTTGAGTCTGCTGTATGTGGCACAAGGCCAAAATGAAGAGGCTGTACAGTTGCTCCGCAGAGCCAAGTAAGTAAATACTCAGCATATCTCATAATATTTTTCCCTGGAAAATATAGCTACTTCCTAGCTTAACAGCATTTGAGAGTTTTATAATCTCATAGAGAGAAGGGCCCAAAGGTGCTTGTTAGCTACCTAGTTATGTTTTCTTCTGTTCCCCAAGTTCTTAGTAAGTTTAAGAAGGACTAAGAACTAGCAAGTTCTCAGCTTAGTTACTCTGAGTCAAACGATTAGTAATTTAATAAGCAAAGATGTATTTCCCAGGTTGGTTCATTGCATTTCTTTTTATTGGATCACATTCATCTGATCTAAACATTTATTTATTTAAACATTTAGATTGCTGCCCATTTAGAGTAGAAGATAAGCTCAAGATCCAGATGGATCTTGACAGACTTGAACACTGGGGCTTATCTAACAAAATAAAATTCAATGTAGAGAAAAGTAAAAGGTTACACTTAGGCAAGGAAAACCAAAAGTACACATATAGACTGGGTGAAACCAGGCTTAATAGCAGTAACTCTGAGAGGAATCTTGGAGTCTTAGTGGACAATCAGTGAACTGAGCCAGCAGTGTGCAGCGGCAGTCAAAAAAGCCAATGCAAGGAATACAATTAAGATCAAGTGAGGTACTAATACCACTCTATAAAGCCTTAATAAGACCACGCTTAGAATACAGCATCCATTTTTAGTCACCATACTATAAAAAAGATGTTGAGACTCTAGAAAAAGTGCAGAGAAGAGCAACCAGGATGATTAATGGACTGGAGACTAAAATATATGAAGAACAGTAGCAGGAACTGGGCATGGCTAGTCTAGTGAAGAGAAAGACAAGGGGAGACACGATAGAAGTTTTCCAATATTTGAGTGGCTGCCAGAGGGAGTCAAGCTATTTTTCAAGGCACCAAAGGCCAGACAAGGAATAATGGATGGAAACTGATCAAGGAGATTCAACCTAGAAATAAGGAGAAATTTTCTGACAGTGAGAACAATCAACCAATGAAACAAAAGCTTGCCTTCAGAAGTTGTGGGAGCTTCATCACTGGAAGCTTTCAAGAAAGATTGGACTGCCATTTGTCAGAAATGGTGTAGGGTCTCCTGCTTAGGTGGGGGGTTGGACTAGATCAGGGATCTCCAATCTTGGCAACTTCCCCAGCTGGCTGGGGAATTCTGGGAGTTGAAGTCCACCAGGCTTAAAGTTGTCAAGGTTGGAGAGCCCTGGAATAGATGATCTACAAGGTCCCTTCCAACACTGTTAATCTAAAGCCTTACAGAAGGCTAAAAAGGCGGAGTCCTGCCAAACTTCAAAAGGCAAGTGTTCCATAGGGCAGGGGCTGCCAGGGAAAAGGCACAATTCCTAGATCCCAACATATGACAATATTTGGGGTAGGAAATAGGAGTCTGCACACCCTATCTGACTTGGGAGGATGCTTAGCTGTCCTTTGGACATCTACCTTAGGAGATATCAACAAAATATCAAATATTATCCTGTAAGATACCTGGATTCATGAAATAGCTTTTGGTGCACATAATACATACAGGTTTGATATAAGGGATACAGCAATTGTTGAATGCTTTTTCCACCAGGAACAACTACAAAAATTATTCAATGGAGTCACGAACACTGTTCCGGATTCATGCTGTATTGTCCAAACTTAAGGCCAGCCAGGAAGAAAGTGATGCAGATGGAACCAGTCCTTCCTAAGGCAACAGGTTTCCTCACAAACTGTTAAGGGTGCTTAGACCAAAGAAGGAACTGCCAAAATACGAGGGCTTAGGATGCTGTCTTCCTCCTGGGATAGGCCTATTTGAAAGTGTATTGTAATTGTACCACTGGCCTTCTGGCCTAGTGTGTGATGTCTTTATGATGAATGGATGGGTCTTACCTAACTGGATTTCAGCTTACAAAACCAGGGAATAGCTATGAAAATGCTGCTTGCTAATTAATGAAGCTGACAGGAGCAGCCTATCTTCAATATTCCATGATATATTCTGCCAGACAACCCAAACTGAGGGCTACATTTGTCCTATTTTCTGTCCTGCTCAATCTCATAAAACTTTGAAATAACATGGACGTTCCAGCCTCCTATTTTTTTCATGCTCCCCCACTTTCTTTCTCAGTCTGAGCTCCTTAACCAGCAAGGCACATCAGATGGTTCTTCCTGTCACATTGGGAGTGAGCTTAATAGTGCAATTAATTCAGCAAAGGCTTCCAGTTTTGGTTGGAAACATAATAGAACCTCAACTCTCTGCTGTGGCCTTCTCTTTTTTGAAAAGAACAGAGAATTTTTGTAATAAAACTTAATTAGCTCAATCTCTATTTAAGAACATTTCTAAATGTTGGAAAGTGATTTAAAATGCTTGCAGAATTTGGGATGGGGCAAACAATTTGGCCGAAAATCCCTTAAATCAAGAAGCAGCTTATATTGCAGAATGAACAGTAACTGGACTTAGACATTTTCAAAAGCCTATGACTACTTCCAGAATTCTGTTCACGTCAATACTTGTCCCAGTATTTTCTTTGCTTATCAATTTGGCAAAAAAGCTGATGGATCTTATCATTTTTCAATCTGACTATAGTATTAACTACTAAGATTTGTTCCATCAATTCACTGGGCAATTGAAATATGGTTTTCTTTTATTTTTTAAAAGCTCTTTCAATACCTTTGTTGGATGTCTCATACACCCTTGCCATACTGTTACTCAGGACTTGCTTATTAGACATACAGCGCTAAGCCAATGTGGTTTTTGTTGTACTTTTTTGCATTCCTTATTTTAAAATTATATTTGGTGTAATTAGCATTAACAATGATGAAAAGGCAAAAAGGGGACATTTTGGCATCTCTTCTTTTATTGTGTGGTCATGACATTTGAACATGCTGTCTTTCATTGTTTTTCCTTGCTCTTCTGGTTTCCCTTACCTTTGTTGTTAGTATTCCTCCTCCTAAGAACAATTTTCATGGAGTGAGTAAAGTCTATTACGTTAAATGGCACTTAAATTGTCAGTTCCTACTATAGTAGGACTTAAATCTACTAATAGAAACAGTGAACAGTTCATTTATGAGCCAAAATAGAATCAAATGACATTCTGAAGATAGGATGTGGGTTAATCCCACTGATCAATACATTCCATACCCGTGCATTCCTGAAACATTATAGAATAAGATTTGTCCCAAAGGTGGTTTTCTAAAAAGCAACTGGCCTTTCTTGTTTTCTGAACTACAGAAGCTTCATGGATAAGAAGCAAAATGTTTTCCAAAAACCCAAGAAAATCCAGTTGTCTTTTAGAAAAGCATCTTTGGGAAAACCCTAACTTGCATAATTATCTCCAGACATTAAACATAAGACTTGTTTGCCTAATGTGGATCATATTAATTATTGTCTAATCTAAGAGCAAACTTCAACTAGATAATGTTATATTACATAATGTGAATGAGTAGGCACAGAAAAGCATATTTGAAAGTATGTAGATAATATAGTTTGGCATATTCTTCAATGACTGAATATAAATGAAATCAATTCTACTTCTGTTGTGTTGTAGATTTATTGCTAAAACACACCTGTATTGTTATCCTATTTTATGTCGGTTCTTTGTCATGTTTCATTATTATGCTCCTAAAGGAATAATAAACATCATAGGAAGTATGAGTCCATGGGATCTTATAAGCCATCTTGAAAGCCAAGGTGACCCAGTATTTAGGGTGCTGACAAATGGCAGTAAGACCCAGGTTCTAGTCCCCTTTAGGCACAGACACTAGCTGGATGATCTTGAGTCAATCATTCTCAGTTCTAGACTGGGAAGTAAAAATATCCTAGAAGGCAGCAATGATCAACCACTTCTGAAATGTTGCCAAGAAAACTACATGGACCTCTCCATGAAGTTGCCAGGAGTCAAGATTCATTCAAAGATCATCCAGTCCAGGGACTGGATTTAGTCCTGGAATCCACTAAACTGCTCTGATAAGTGATAATCCAATCCTCATTTTAAAATTTCCAGGAAGGGAGAACTAAACACTGTTTAATAGCGCTGGACATCATGAAATTACTTCTAATATTCAGCCTCAATTTCTTTTTTGCTTTTCTTTTTAATTTACTGACTCTTGTCTTGCTCTCACCTTCATCAGAGAACACATTGACCCACTCTTGTACAACAGCCTTTTTTTTTTGGATTGGTTGATTATAGTATCCTTATTTTTCTCCTTTGCAAATAAAACATGCCCAGACATTGCAGGAAGTGATTGGTTTCCAGATCTGTTAACATCTTGATAGCTTTTGTCTAACCTTAAACCAACTTGTCAAAGAGTATCCTCAAAACAGGACACAATACCACAAGTGGCTTAGCTAGCCACTTGTGGAATGAATCATGGAATGATTATGTCCTGTGATTTGGATGCTTCTATTAAAGTAGCTGAAGATTGCATTGGCCCTTTTAAATGCTGTCTCATATTGCTTACTCGGGTTCAGTTGATGACAAGAGTTATATACCTATCCACCCTCCCCCCAAGTCATTATTCCTGTACCTTTCTATTTGAATTTTTCTACTCCAATACAAGGCTGTATATTGGTCATAGCCCAACATCATTCTGCTGGCATTGTTCCGTCCCACCCCCACCCCCACAAAATTCTGTCAAGGTCAGTTTGAAGTGTGATTTTCATCCTAAAGCAGTGTTTCTCAACCTTGGTGTCTTTAGGATGTCTGGACTTCCAGATATCTTAAAAAGTATCTAAGACTGCTACAAAGTATTAGCCATTCATTCCAGCTTGTTTCATCTGCAAATCTGATTACCTTTTCCAGTCCATCCTTTAGGTTGAATAGCACTAGCCAAAGATGAAGCCCTGGAGATCCCAGTAAATCCTTATCTTCAGGATGATGCAGCACCATTTATATATACAGTATTTACACAGACACCTCAATCCAATTGTCAAGAGGAACAGGGTATTCAGACCTAATTTACTGCAAGCTGATTACAAATGACTTTAAATTACTACTTCCCATGACATAATAAGAAACTGTTGCCTAAAAATGACAACACTCCATGTAAGAAAACAGAAGCACATAAAATACAGTTTCCATCAGTAGCAAAATTAGAAAGCATGTGAAAATTCATAGCTCAAATATATTTTTGAATTATAATTTGAAAAGTGAATTACATAATTTAGTAATGAGAAGAATCTAGTACTGATTAATCTTAAATACATTTGCAAAATAATAATTCCCATAAGAAATTTTGCTTAATGAAAGCTAGGAGTTAAGCTATGTATTCTCTACCTTCCATTTTTAATACTACCTTTAAAACAGAAAAAGGATTATTTATAAACACACAAAACAAGCTTACTCAAATTGTTCATATGGATTGTATCAATACTTCTTCCAAAGGACATGGCAACAGTAGGTGGAGAACATATGCTATATGTTTTTGAACTAGTGTCACCTTCAGTTTCTCAAAATACGGTAGAAAATAAGGACTGCCAAGAGACCATTAAGTGATTCTGCAGGTATGTGCCATTTTGAGGACCTAATTAACCACAAAAGAAAAAACAAGCCTTTTATTTAAAATATTGTTAGATGGCAAAATCTACCGTGAATAGTTTCTTTTTGGTTCCCTACTTTTCATACATTCATTAGGAGCATTATCAAAATAAAAGACTGTGCAGAGACTGAACGAAATTCTGCTCTAGTTTTGCCACTAGAGGGAACCAGAGTATTAAATTACAGGTACTGATAACATTTTTTTCTGAATCTGCCAGGGTGGACTTGGACCAAAAACCTTTTCAGCTAAGCAGTTTGTAGTGAAGGCAGCCTACCATCTGCTTTTTACACAATGCCATACTAGGCATCAGCCTCTCCTTCAGCTACAGTGTGCATAGGGGAGTTATGGCTGAGTGGGTTATGTGTACAGTGTTTTCAAAATTCCTCTGCTCAGGCACAGCTATTTAGTGCAAAAAGTGCTCAGTGCATAAATCCCTTTTTGGTGGATTGTCCCTTCATAATTATTGTCAGTAAGGAATGAACATCTGTAAAAGATGAAGGTATCAAGCCAAAATCATTGTTCGCTTGGATGCAGCAAATCCATCTTATTGGGTGGGCTCAATAATCCCAAGCTGTATGAAATGCTGCAGGAAGCATAACGGCATTCAATCCAGATTCGCAACATGAATTCAGCCAAAATGCTGAAAGGTATAGTGCTGAAAGACTGGTATAGAATTGTGAATGGAGCAGGGCAAATATGCCAAAATTCAGAGCAGACTTTCATAGCACAAGTCCATGTCTATTTATGTACATCCTTAGTGTGAATCCTACACACAGAGAAGTATGAACTTGGTCAAGGAATAGGAAAAAATGTTAGGTTTATTGCTTGGACCATTCAACTGGTATCTTTATCTCTATATGCAACTATAATAGATTCAATACTTTACATTCTTTTACCTTTAATAAGAGGCTGAAGGAATAATGTCAGGGACATTCCCCCTTCGTAGCCATTACTGATGACATTTTTTCAAATTAAATTCAGTAATTTTACTATTAAGAAATGTACCAAACAACATCCAGTCAAAATTCTAGGCAATAATTATCTGGGACGCAACCTTAGGGTGGTGCTATGGCTCAGAGGTTAAGAAATTGGTTAGAAAGCCAGTAGCCCAGTTTTGAGACCTGAGCTTGGTGCGACGAGACTCCCATCCTTGCCCTAGGCTCTTGCCAACCTAGCAGTTCAAAAGCATACAAAAGCAAGTAGATACCACTTTAGTATGAAGGTAATAGCGCTCTGTAATGTAATACTGGCCACTTGACCACGGAAACATCTTTGGACAGCGATGGCTCAATGGCCCTTAAAATGGAGATGAGCGCCACCCCCTATAGTCGGGGGACTCCTTTACCTTTACTCACCTCCACTCACGAGAGAGAGAGAGAGAGAGAGAGAGAGAGAGAGAGAGAGAGAGAGAGGGGAGGAGAGGAGAGGAGAGGAGAGGAGAGGAGAGGAGAGGAGAAGAGAAGAGAAGAGAAGAGAAGAGAAGAGAAGAGAAGAGAAGAGAAGAGAAGAGAAGAGAAGAGAAGAGAAGCCTTTGGGGCCCTGTTTCCTTCAAGCTTCTCCACGCCAAAAACTTTTGCAAAGGGTCAGAAGGCATGAAACAGCACGAGATCACTCCCCTTTGCAAAAGCTTTTGGCACGGAGAAGAGAAGCCTTTAGAAGTGCAGTCTCATTCTCCTTCAGACTCATGGAGGCTGCTCGATACTTGAAAAGCAGATTGAGCAGGGCATGTTCGTCCCTGCTCAGCTTCTGCTCCCACCCTTCAACTTTTGGAGCATTGGGAGCAAGTGGCCTGGAGGGGGGGTTGCGGCCTGGTGGGGGGAGAGAACAGGGCCACGTAAGCAGGCCAGTGCGTAGCTCTACACACACAAGAGACGTCTTTGGAGCACTGCTTGCGCAAGTGGAGCTGTGTGCGCACACCAACTTGCCTCTTGTGCAGCCCAGCCCAGTTCCAAATAGGCAATGGCCCAATAGTGGGCCACAGCCCGGGAGTTGGGGACCCTTGAGCTAGATGGTGGAAACAGAGCTTGCTCTTTTGAAAGAGAAAAGAAATTCAGAGAATGCATCTGCTATTCAAAAATCCTTTGTTGAAGCTCCAAGTGGTCACAGCAGGCAGAGAAAGGACATTAGATTGTTCTGTACAGTGAAGCATTCCACATTCCATAAGACTTCTAAGTTGGCCTTTAATGCATGAGGAGAAGTGCAGTAAATCAATTGGGCCTCTGAGAATTGCCTGTCACAATCTGTAGGCAGATTTATTTAAAAGACTTACAATATAGTATTTTAGGTATCCTTTTGTTCAGCCATCTCCTCCTTGCTATCTGGAGATGAGGCAAGAATTTTGTTTTCCATTGCTTTTTTGGCCTGAATCCCCCTCATCCGTTTTTTCTCCTCCTTCTGCTCCATCCGTTTAATCTTCTCCCTCTCTATCACCATCTCTTGAAATTCAGGACTGTGATGATCCAGGTGATAGCCGTATTGCTCCCGGGCCTCAGCCAGTAACAACCGCCTTCGTTCTTTTTCTTGCTGTTCTTTGAGCTTGCGTTGCCGTTTTTCCCTCTGCCAGTCTTCTATCATCTGGGGCATTTTAGCCATTTTGGCAGCAATTATCTCATCTCTAGAAAGCAAAAGACAAAACTATGAAACAAAACATTATACAACTCTAGACATAGAAACTATGTTTTCAGTTTATTTTCAGCATTTTCACTTTAATGGGTGAATAGGTTCATACTAAATAGTTATTCTAATACCAAAGTCTACAATAGCTTTATAATTTAAAATATTCATTTTGGATAGTGTTCATAGAGATACCATGACACTATTCTAAAATATTGAGAGGTGCTAATTTAACTTGTTAAATCAGCAATTTACAAATTGCATTTTATGCCGTGAGTCCTCAAAGTAATGTAGAAAAATCTCAAAGTTACAATGGAGGCTCAAATCAGTGGCAACTTCACAAAAATGCCGTCTTACCTGCCATCTAACATGAGCATGTTACTCAAATTGCAAATGTGCTCCTGAAAAGAGCCTGCAATCTCATACAGAATATCATATTTCTCTACAGCAGTATTTTTCAATTTTAAGATGTGTGAATTTCAATTCCCAAAAGTGCCTAGCCAGCTGGGATTTAAATTTTACACTTTTTAAGTTTGTCAAGGTTGAGAAACACTGCTCTACGAAAAAAAGTCATGTATCAATAGTATTTTCATTTTGTCTAGATTACTATAGTATGCAGTGATTCATTTGGCACTTCCATTACTTCATGAGGGAAGAAAGAATAAAATTCAGACAGCACCTGAAAAGAAGATGCCTGAGCAAAGCAATCCTCCAGCATCTTGCTCTGGAACTGATCTACTAGGCAAGAGTAGCAAAATTAAACCATAGCATGGCAATCTCAGTTTTGCTTAGCTTTTATTAATGCATAGATTGTTTGCTCTAAATTTTATCAGATGTTTTGCTTCAAATGTACACTCATGGCACACCAAAGAATGTCTGAGGCCAGCATCTACCAGCATCCTTCAATACCACTGAAATTACCCTGAGTAAAAACACTTACAAAGCAAACTACATTTAAACATGCAAAATGAAAACAAACAAAAGGATTTCTCTTAGTGCAGAAATAATTGCCCAAAACATGGACACTGAACAAATGTTTATGGATGCTCTGTTCTGGGAGATCTGCTAATCCACCCTGTGCAACTCACAAATACTTATTCACACACCAGAAGTATATAATTTTTATTTCGTGTTGCTGCAGGCGGCCTTCCTCTGTTTAGTCCCATTATTCTGCAACAACCTCTCTGATGAGGCTTCGGAAAATGTGCAATTAGGCCTCAAGTCAGAAGCCTAAGGTCGACTCAAGGGCCGTTCCCAAAGCGTGTGGTTTGTTGGCTCAGCGCCGTCCCAGCAAAGCCCGAAGGCTGAAATTGGGTCGCGGTGGCCTCCCACGCCCGAAGGGCGCTCGCGACTTTCCCCGGTTCCGCCCTCTCCTCGTCCAGCCCAAGGAGACGCTTCCACGCGTGGCGCCCACCCGCAGCCTCCCTCCTCCTGCCTTCCTCACTTCTGTCGCTGCAGGGCTTCGGCCTCGCTGTCTTTGGCATCCAGCGACTGCTGCATCTCCTTCAAAGAAGGGTACCAGGCTCTCTGCTCAGCTTCCATTTCCTGCAGCTTCTCCGGCGACGGCCACAACCGGGTCGGGTCCACTCCGGAGGCTTGCCCGTGGCGCCCAAACAGCTTGGCTTCATATTCGGGGGTCAGCTGCCAGGCCGGAGTGCGGGGATCGGCAGGGTCCGGCCGATAAATTCCCTTCAGATGTAACTTAAGCGGCTTGGCGTTATACAACCGGACGCCACCCAGCAGCAGCCGGCTTCCGCGGACCGCCATGTTACAACGCGCTTACCGAGTGACCGGAACTATAGAGGGCGCCATCTTGGATTTAACTCTCCCCCTCCTGTGGGCGGGGCCATCTTGTATGCTGGCGCATGGTGGCCGCCATTTTGAAGTTTATTCCTTGCCCTGGGCGCCTCCATCTTTGGAATTTTCCGAACGTTCTTGGAGGTTTGCTGGGTGGCGGTGAAGATATTTCGTCATAGAAACAGCGGAGTCGTGACACGAAGTTGACCTTGATTCAGCTGTCTTATTTTTTTCTTTGTATTAGGTTTCTTAAAGTTGCAGTGCAATTTTTACGCAAGTGCTTTACGACACAACATGGCTTCTTTAAACTGAGCATTAGGATTCGGAAGGCTTCAGAGGAGCGGTGAATCTGAACGAGATTTGTTTACCTGAGAATTTGCGCAGCTCTAATTTTTTTGGAATTTCATAAGGTTCCCCAATTGCAGCGCGACTGCAGTCCGAGAAACGGGCTTTTGCCTGAGAAATTAATGCATGTGAGGGGCAAATGACACGGGTTTTGTAATGTGTTAACTAATAGAGTTACTTTGAATTTTAATTTGATTTATTTTCTCTCTCTTAAAATTTTGTATTTGTTGTGTTAACTATAAAAAGAAGTGAAAGGTGGGATTGGGGGTTCTCCCTTCCTTTCTCGTCTCTTCCTCTCTTCCAAATTCCCATTTTATGAGGATACCCTAATAAACTGCTTTTAAATGTTAAAAGATCTTCGATTCAGTTGCTTATTGGGAAGGTAAACTGAGGCGGAACCTAGGGTCACATTTGGCTTCCAATGTGAAATACCCTATTTGGGTACGGCTACTTTGTACTTGCATTTTTATGGTATTTTGATTAAAAAATTGAGTCATCCACATATGAGATTTATATACAGTACATTTATACAAGGATACTACAGTGAACAATAATGGCATGGACAGTAGCATAGACTATTTTCTGACATCTCCAGCATTATTACAAAATGCAGTTTCTGTGTCAAATGATAATGAACTCCATTAATGAAATTTATTATTTAATCCTCCATCAGAAATCATCCTTTGTCAATCACCTGGAAAAGGATAGGACAGGGTTCTGCAACCTTAAACACTCAAAAGAGCCATTTGGATCACGGAAAAGAAAATACCAGGAGCCATAAACCTGGGTGGGTGTGGCCAACTCGACATCACTCGTTCCCACCCAGTCACATGACCACCTCCCCCCCAACCATGCTTACCCAGGTTTTGTGGCTCCCGGTACTTTCTTTTCTCTGGGGAACAGGTATCTCTATCTCTGTCTTTTTCTCATTTCTCTTTCTCCCGCTCTGTCTCTCTCCCATAGTTGCCTCTTCTGGCCCTTGTTGGTGCTGCGTGCACCCGATCCGGCTGCAGCCGATGTTCTGCGTAGTAATGGGCTCCAGGATGAGGAGGAGAAGCCGTCTCCCCCACTGTGAAGCATGCTAAATTTAAGTGTGCTGAGCAAGGCGCTGCAAGAGTAGCGAGCAGGCCATGCAGGCGGGCAAGAGCAGCAGCGTCAGCCGCAGCCAGTGTCTCGGGGGGGGGGGGGGGGGGGGACAAAGTCACACATCCCCCCGAGCAACCGAGGTGCACATAGCACCAACAAGGGCCAGAAGTTCCCATGAGATGAGGCAAGTAGGCAAGGGATGCTTCGTTCCCTCTCTGGAATATGGAGCAAGTCTCCATCCACCGCTGTGTTAACCGGCAGCAGGTGCAGATGGCTGAGGAGAGTGATGACTCTGATGAGGGGCCAGGACCATCAGGGAGTGGACTGTGGGGGCTGGCAGCAGTGACGAGGAGGTTCCCGAGGAGCCTGTGCCAAGTGCACGTGCACGAAGGATTACTCGGAGGAAAGAACAATTACAGCAGCACAGGCAACTCGGGAGTAAGGCTGCAAGATAATGGCCCCTCTCAAGAGGATAAAAGCCAGGTTTGGAAAAGCGTTCTTTGCAGACAGCAAAGAAGCTCTTAAGCTCAACTGGTGGACATCTTAGTGTTTGGAGAAATCTTGTAAATTAGTTCTTATCTCTGGGTTTTTGGCAGCCTTGACAAACAACTTGGCAAGGCTCTTTCTTGTTGGAGATAATTAGTGGAAAGCAGCCTTCAGAACATAATTTGTTATTAAACCTTAAAAGGTGGGGGCTGCTGCCTTTGTGTTTGCTCTTTGGGAACCCAATTGGCTCTGCTGTCGCCCTTCTTAGGCAAGGAGTGACTGGGAGGGAAGGGTGAGGGGCGGGGCCAGCCAGTGATGGGACAGGGAGCCACAGCAGGGGGCCCAAAGAGCTGCATGGTAGGAGAATAAAGTAAAAATTTCCCACCTTAAAAATTTAAAAATAATTTGTGTCAAGCCTCACAATTGCATCATTCTATTTGTTAATGAGTGCTTAGTCACACTCATAGACCATAACTTCCATATATCCAGGATACTAAAGGTAAAGGTTTCCCTCGCACATATGTGTTAGTAGTTTCTGGCTCTAGGGGGCAGTGCTTATCTCCGTTACAAAGCCGAAGAGCCAGCGCTGTCTGAAGACGTCTCCGTGGTCATGTGGCTGGCATGACTAAATGACAAAGGTGCACGGAACACTTACCTTCCACCAGTGGTAGGATTAAAAAATGTGTACTGGTTCTATGGGTGTTGCTTGGTGGGCGTGGCAGGGGAAGGTTACCTCAAAATCCCCATTCCCTGCCTACCCCATTAACCTGCTTTCCAGTTCCATTCTTTGTGCAGGGCAACGAAGTCCCAGCTGATCAGGCAGGCAGCAAATAGATGGGGGTAGGGCCAGTCGGTTCTCAGAACTACTCAAAATTTCCACTACCAGTTCATGAGAACCGGTCAGAACCGGCTGAATCCCACTTCTGCTTCCCACCAAAGTAATTCCTATTTTTCTACTTGCATTTATACATGCTTTCGAACTGCTACGTTGGCAGAAGTTGGGACAATTAATGGGAGCTCACTTCGTTTGCGGTGCTAGGGATTTGAACTGCCAAACTGCTGACCTTTCTGATCAACAAGCTCAGCGTCTTAGCCACTGAGCCACCGCATCCCCTATCCAGTAGTATCCAGGATACTATCATATGATTAAAACCTTATTCCAGAACTGCATGGTGAGGTATACGTCGATAAGTCTGACTATGAATGTACACTTCTAATACAAAAGTAACAGAAATAACAGAATAATATTTCGGTAATAGTTCTGAGCATCCTACATGCTACTGGATTAAAAGAAAAAAAAAGTAATGTTAAGTAAAAAAAAAATCACAGGAGGCCCATTGGAAGAAATTTGATGATATATTTAAAACAACAGTATTCTGACACATTGTGTCCCCTGCTTTTCTAAAACTTCCTTCCCTGTCTTCTGATTTAGTTTCCTCAGAGAAATGGACTGTTTTAAAACTCAATTTATCAAGAACTGAGATTCCAGATGTAAATTAGATTTCTATCCAGAAAATTTAGCAAATTGGAATCTAGCGTCCTCAGAATTACCTAAATAGTGCAAATGAGAGTGGAATATTTGGGAGACCCTGAGGGTACAGATAAACCTCCATGTGGCCTCAACGACTCTCAGAAATGAGTTCTAGCAACTAGATAACTGCAAGAAATATAAATCCTTCCATTCTCCACCTTTCAGTCAGAACTGAAGAAGCTTATTGGATGAGAAGTGGATGAGAATCTTCAAGGAAAAGCAAAATCTAGCTGCCTTTGGGATTACAGGCTAAGTCTATTCTGCATTTGCAATGATCACCTGCATTTTTGTTAAGCATTTTTTCTTTTCCCTCATCTAAATCATTTATGAAAATGTTGAAGAGAGTTGACCTAGCCCTAGAACAATTTCCTGAGGTATGTGCCTCCACCCTCTATGCAGACCTAGGTACATTAAGGGCCAGTGAGTATGACTGTTCAGTCAACTGCAAACCTACCCATTAGCAGCATCCATTCCTCATTGTTCTCTTTTATCAAGTAAGAGGCTGTGGTCAAATTTATTAAATACCTCCACTGAAATCTAGATATATCACATGCATATATAGAAGTTCCTTGGTCTTCTAGTCACTTGTAAAAAAAAGTAATAGTGCTTGTCTAGTAATAGTAATAGTGCTTGTCTATTTTGTCTTCTAGTAACCCCTGTTCCTTTCTAAGAGCTTAGAACCCACTTTTTTTCCCTTTCTTTTATTAAATATTTAAAAAACAATCCTATAAAAATAATAGCAGAAAAAAGTAAAAAGGACAGAAAAACTTAAAAAAATACATGCTATATAAAACTGAATAAGTTTTTTCAGAAGAACATTAGGTTAGTGATGGTTATTATTGTGTGCCATCAAGTCAATCTTGACTCTTAGATGATGAAGTTATATTTTCTCCAGGAGGCTCTTTTGCCAGCCTGGTTCTTCAGTTCTTCTAATAGAACACTTACTGCTACTGAAATTGAGTCCATCTACCTTACTGTTGGTCATCCTTTCTGTTTCTTTCCACCTTTCCCATCATGATAGACTTCCCTAGAGAGCTAAAGGACTTTGCATAGTGTGTCTGAAGTATGATATCATCAGCCTGATCATTTCTGTCTCTAGTGAAAATTTTGGGTTGATTTGTTTAATGATCTAGTTGAGGAGGGTTTTTTTTTTTTTGCTATCTATGGTATTCTTGGATACCATTCTGTTTGCCCATAATTTTTACCACACTGTTGTCAATCACATCTTTCACCTCTTCTTTATAAACTTCTTTAAAAATACATTTACAGGTGCAGCGATTATTGCTGGCAGATTAGTTATAATTTTTTGACCTAATTCTTCAAAAACCTTTGAAGTGCCATCCTTTTATCTATCATTTTCTAAATGTCACTTTTCTTTTTCCTGCCTGGAACTTGAGTCCCTGCTAGTGGCATAATTCTATATTCAGGAAGTCTCAGTTTCTTCATTGCTTTGTTTTCAACTTTCAGCCAGTAATGTCTTTCCTAATAAAACTAAACAATTTATGTTCCTATGGAACAATTATTTTCTTTACTCAATTCTTCAAAAATCTTAGCAAAGGTCCTAATATTCCAAATACATCTAGTGCCATGGTCTGTTTAAAACTTTCTTTGAATAAATTCTTACTTAGTTTTTTGTCATTTGTTTTTTATTCTTTAAGTTCTTTACTAATTAGTTTTTCTTTCATTTTGGAATGGCATTTAACTTATCAGGTACTTTTTCAAATCAGTTTGGAGTTTTAGAAACATGGTATCTAGTAATTATCATAAGACAATATAATAAGACTCATCAGTCAGAATAAATCAATAAGGTAGGCCTAATAATGGTCAGGCCTAATTATTGTGTTTCCAGCAGTTTCTGTAATCTGAATTGTCCATTTTCAATCAGCAATTGTGGAAAATAAAGAGGGTGACTTTTATGGAGAGAGGAAGATTTGTTACCAGGGTAATATGTAGATAAACGTTGCTTAAGCCCAGATGAGGTTATAAAAACATCTCAAACAGGCACACGCCTCCTTCAGATGATACATAAAAAAGGAAAGAGGGGAAACATGTTCAGACTTCAAGATT